TCAAACGGAGAGAGTAAGGACTATCCCATGTAAATCGCGCATTAGCAGAAATACTGACACGATGGACAGGAGCCGAGGCGGCCGGGGCTTTGAGGAGGACATTTTCTTCGAGAGGGAGACAGTGGACCGTAAGTCCCGCGACCTTGACATTTCCTCGCGTTCTCGATCCCTTAGCGTTGGACCCCCCAAGCGTGCTTTCACGGCGCCTGTCAATCATGACTCAGAGTTTGAGTTCGAGGCCGATTACTACAATAGGAAGGCTTTGGAGCGGGGCCACCCTGGCGAGGCAATCAATGGAGCAACCAAAGATTGGGGCCTTGTCGATGTTCCTCCAGGTACCAATAAGGTTCGCATGGAGGGCATCGGTGGTGGTGCGCAGGAAATTACCTGGCAGCGTTACAATGGCATCCGGCGTTCGAAGTTCCTCAGCGGAGACGACGAAGCAGCAACTGACTTTGGTATACCAGGCCCGAAACCAAAGGCCAAGGACAAGGATATGTGGACAGAAGTCACCAAAGATTTGGTCATTAAGGAAGCCATTGACCGTTGCGGCTATGACTATGAGGAGACTGAGGGTTACTACTATGTTATGGAGTATCTGCGCTACGTAAGTAACTGCTCTCGATTACGTATCTTTGGCGCTAACTCCCAGAACAGGAGGATGTCTTGCAGCTTGTAGAAATTTCGGACGATATACGCCGCGAGCGTAGATCGCGCATCCGTGAGATCGAATTCGAACGTGAGAAGATCCGTGACCGGCGCCCTGAGTACGACGAGCGTGTCTACGAACATGAGGTATCATATGATCGCCACCGACGTCGATACAGATAAGCGAACCTCCTTTGGGGGTGCATGTCTCTATTTCCATGTTTGGGCGACCACCTTGAGCCTCGACCAGGCTCTCTGTCCAATTCTTGATCACTACGTCGTTTTGGACCGACTCAGGACAACACCATCCATTCTTTGTATCAAGTTTCTCGGCAAAAGGTTGAAGATGATACCAGACGACTTTACGACACGACATCATGATGGCCCCGCGACGGCGTTGGCTTCTGGGTGCCTAGACGCACAGGCACCGTATCGGGCCTTGCATAGCTTTAACGATTATCACGACTAGCATAGGGGTGGAGCGAGCAAGAGCGGGCTGCAATTTTGGCGACTCATACATTTTTTTTTTCGATCTTTCTTTTTCTTAGGCTTTTCGTTCTGGGCTGGATAGGATTAAGAGCGCTTGGGGTTGAATGAATGTTTCTATTCTTCTCGAGCCGAACCATGGCGCGAATTGACCATCGTCACGCACAAATTATATCATGGCATGAAGTATGAATAGAGTCTTGGGCCTGCAGCGTCAGGCGGTAAAGAGCAGTTCCCTCCATAAGTGAACATGGCAGTGCAGCCAATAAATTGGTCGCTCTGCAGGACCTCTTTCCGGCTAGCCACCCTTCCGGCGCTCTCTCTTGGTAAATGGCGGGGAAACCGGTGGTCTATTCGCGCGCTCTCCTCGCATCTCCACTGCCGTCAGCCTTGTGCAACATTCGCTTTTTCAAGCGCCCTCACTCGCAGTCGCGAGCTAAGAATAGGCGTGCGTCAATATTGTCCGTGGCCTGCACGTCTGGCTGGCGTGACCCCCTGACTTGCTTGCTGCGCAGTAAAGTTTCCTGTGAGGTGGTAAGCGCCCAGGTTCTCACATCGCCGGAGTTCATTGGTCGAACGAGCAGTCCTTGCAGCGATTTGCGGCCAGTCGAAGCGCTGATGGTGTTTCAATGTGAGGGTGAGGGTGCGGCGATGCGTTTGCGTTCGCTGCGCTGGCTGTATAAGGCGAGGCGGGGCCGTTTTTGAGTTGAGCTCTTGTCGGAGGATTCTGTCTCAGGTCTGCGTTGCTTTGCCTCTGGATCTTGTTGAGGCGGTGGTTTTGAAAGTCTGTCCTGTTTCTGTCTTGTCTTCCTTGCGTTGCTGTCCTCTTTCCATCTATCGGCCGACCGACGACTTCGAGAGAGCGCGAGATATTGGCTTCGGACTTCATGCGCTGAGCGCGATCACAAAGATGCTGCGACGACGATTTGACGGCGTCGTTGCTGTGCTTTTTGCGCTGCTATCTGGTATGTTTGGTTGGCTTCTGAGGGAGTCCGTTTGCGTGTGGTGTTGTCTTACTGTCATTTCGCCTGTCGGAGTTGAGCCTTAACTGACAACCATTTGTAGTCTTCCCAACATACACCCTCGCAGACAATCCACCAGCTTCAACATTGTGGATTGAAGAGACAGAAACACAGTTTTCGATCAACCTTCCAGTGAACAGCGACGATGTGCTCATCAACTTCACAAGTCCGGCTTACTCTTGGGTGGGGGTGGGGTTTGGCGAGGGTATGAAGGACTCTCTAATGTTCATCATGTATCTCTCGGAAAATGGAAAGAGTACGTTTCGTTCGCGATGATGCTAAGTTGACCATGGTGCTAATTAGCGCAGATGTCACCGTCAGCCCTCGAATTGCGACCGGACATTCAGAGCCATCCCACTTCCCTAACTGCACGATCGAATATCTTCCCGGCACAGGAATCCACGACGAGATGTTCGTGCTTAATGCTAGAGCTAAGAATTGCAAAGTCTGGCCTGGAGGAAACATCAACGTGGATGATACTAAGCGTCCGATGATTTATGCCTTCGGTCCTGGAAATAGCATCCAGTCAAACTCGCTCAATGCGCCGCTCAAGAGGCACTTCAAGTACGGTAAGTTCACCATGGATATAAAGGCTGCGCAGGATCAAGGACCCGGCGAGGTTCCCCCAGGAGCGACAAGCTCAAGTGGGGTTACATTGGAAGGAGGCATGACGCGAGATCACGATCGAATGAACCTGGCGCACGCCGTGTTGGGGTGCATTGCGATGTTTGTATTCTGGCCGATCAACGTCTTCATCGCCGGTTTCTTCAGGAACATCAAGATACATATTGGGATGTCCGTCTTCATCATGATCTTCCTGATACTGGCTTATGGACTGGGAATCGGCACGTCTTCCGAATACAATCGTGTAAGTACACTCTCTTAATATCTAACAAGTTTGTGACTGACATTCTGTAGTCAAAGCACTTCAACTCTGCACACCAGATTATGGCATTCATCGCCCTCCTGCCGATCCTACTCCTCTCGCTCCTCCCGCTACGGCCACTCGCCCGTTTACACAAACTGATCCCGCGAATACACACGCCAATCGCCTCCATAACCCTCGTCTTCTTGATCCTGACCGGCGGCCTCGGTCTACATCTCTCCTCCTCCGCACGCCCAATCATCATAGCATACATCGCCGTCTCCCTAATCGTCTTCTTCCCCGTCATGCTTCTCCAAACATGCATACGGCGTCGAGGTTCTGCATACGCACGCGCGACGACGAGAAGGAGATTAGGCGAGGAGGACGAGGAAGACTTGGTGTTAGCTGCATACATGGCGGGAAGGAAACTAGATGGTCGGGGAAGTCAGGGAGAAAGTCGGAGTGAGAGTGCAGCGAGCTTCCAAACGCAGAGTTCGCATGAGCGGAGTGGGAGTGGGGGTTCGGCAACCAACATCTATGGCGGAGGGACGATGCCTGGGCCCCAGTATCTGCTGAATATGCATCCTGGGGTTCCCGTGCACAAGTGGTAATGGACGTGACTGAGGCGGGCATTAGACGGATATAAGTGTACGATCATTGGCCTTCTTTTCTCTATTACGATACACGTAGGGTACCTGGCTGTTTGCCTGGTTTTGGGTTGGACGATTGGTTTCAGCCTTTTGGCTTTGCGAAGATACCAGGTGTTCGGGAATTGCGAGCGAGCATTGAAACGGCGTTGTTATATACTTATGCGTTACGAATTTACTTTGTAATATCTACCAAATCTACTGCTCTATCCTCAGGAGTCGCCCGTTGACTCTTTCTGTGCCGCCTCTCGCCATATCCCCTTTCTCAACGGCCTGCCCAAGCATGCACTTCGTGACTCGCTCAAGTTCTATACAGAACTGGCACAAGATCCTTAACTCCCTTAAATTCGCCATAATCCGGATCATCCTTCGGTTGCTCGATAACCAGCTCCACCATTTTGAATGACGACCCGAGTTTCTCAAGGAACGTCATGTCCACAGCCCAATTGTCCACAGGCTCGAATCGAAATTCTTGGGGCTTGGGGAAGATAAACCGCAGCTTCAACGTCTCCAGTCGATGTTCATACCGCTGGAGATGCTCACACAGATACCAGAAGCCTGAGGGAGGCCTGAGGTCTGCCGTCACATTCGAATCCTCGCAGCCGTTGTTGTCTTCTTCTCGAATTCTACGACGTAATGACATCTATGGGTTGCTCATGTCGAGCTTGCGGATTCGGTACAAGGAGAGGAGCTGATAGGGTGATTCCCGACGGCAGAAAAATTCGTAGGTACATATCGTACATGCCGCTTTGCGGTATATCTGGGCGATTGCTTCGGCAAGAAGGGCCTTGCAAGTGCGAAGCCATGACGGAAGACGCTGGGAGCCTTTCTTCCAGCGACCAGGGGATTTAATGATAAACCCGAGTGTTCCTTTCCTGGTTGCAAAACGGCGTCATTTGAGGAGCTCTTGATAAATTTGATCGCGGAGCTCTCGTGGAAGCTTGAAGAGGGGAGATGAAGCTGTGGCCGTGGGCAATGGTGGAGACGACTTATAGCAGAACCGAGCCGGAGGGGTAGGCTTATGTAGTAGGCTCGATTTACCGAATTTGAATATAATGATCTATGTGCACGCCGAAGTGCCAATCGATGGACGTGAGAAGCACTGCTCAAATGCTCAGAAACAGTCCTTACGATGTGTCGTGCGTAGGATTTGCTAAATCAGAGTCGTAGGCGAGACAAGGCACCTTTGCTAAGCAGCTTGTCACACCACTGCAATGTAACAACGACGGATGGCAAAAAGCCAATCTTCTATTCCATTAAGTAGCAGAAAGTCGGAACAAAAAGGAGAACCTCAACAATAATGGAGTAAAGGCAAAAAGAAAGCTTTCTCTTTGACTCAGCCGAGGTTTGAACTCGGGACCTTCAGTGCACTTCATCCCGAAGAATGTTAGACTGACGTGATAACCAACTACACCACCGAGCCGCGGTTTTGATTTGATAGACAATTTTTAGTCTGTATCTATGTATACATACTCAAATTATTCATGCCAGAATACTCAATGCATAGGAGCCCATTACGGTCATCAGCAGATCGCCTACTCCATTCAGGGGTGCCCAGGCGAAGAGTGGGGTAGATATCGGGCCGCGAGAGCGTGCGTCGCGGAGGCACGTCCTCGCCTACCCTATATGAGACCCCTCAATTCAGTCGATCGCTTGCCGGAGAACAAAAGGCGATGTCAGGAGAACTAAAGTCTTACAATTTCTAGTAAGAAGAAGGCACTGCAGCATTCAATGCTGAGTGCATTGTCAGGAAGAAGCGAGCGATGGCCTGACATCTTCAGCGTCAGCCTGCATGTGCACTGCCTCTACCATAAGCTCAACACCAGTGCCTGAACCCTGAACAATTACCTATACTACTCATTATGTAGCACATCTTTGACGGCAAAGACATATTTCGTGATGGAAATTGTGCGCAATGGATTACTGTCCGTCATGCAAGAGACTCGACATCTCCCTCTCCGGTTTCCTTTCCCACCCTGGCTTTGACGACAACCCCCGACTCAAAGGTCCAATTTACACAATCGGAACCCTATACGAGGTTGGCGAACGACAACAGACATGCCATTTGTGTCGTCTGATATTCTCCGCTTTCCAATCTGGCCCTTCACGAAACTCTCGGGACCTCGCAGATACGCGCAAAGTACAGGTATCGGGAGCATGGATCAACAGCCTTGGACCCAGTAAAGAGCAGCGAGTGAAGGGTACAGCATTGTGCATATTGATATGGGCAGAACTGGCAGAACTGACGCGTTCTACGACATGGTCCTCGACACCCTTCAAGATCGTCGTTCGCGCGGCCTCGCGGATGTTTCCTGATCAACCACATTTTGCTCGGCTCTCTCTAGTCAACGCATCATTGCTAGACTTCGGTCTTATCAAGAAGTGGCTGAGGCACTGCGAATCGAAACATCAAGATTGCACCCATGATGCGCAGGCGTCGCAATTGCCGACGAAGAATTTCTTGGTTATTGATGTGGTGTCTGATTGCATCGTCAAAGCGCCAGAAGGGTGTAGATATCTTGCGCTGAGCTATGTATGGGGCTCTATCGATCAACTACGATTGAGGCAGGAGAACCTATATGCGTTCACAGTCAAAGGGAGTCTGAGCAAGGCAGCTTTGACGCGAACGATTCGTGACGCCATGGCGCTGGCGAGAGCGCTTGGGCAGCGGTACCTATGGGTGGATGCCCTTTGTATCTTGCAGGACGTCGAGGTTGTACGCCAACAGACTATCGATGACATGGACCGGATTTTCGCTCAATCTTTGCTTACGATGGTCGCTGGGACATGCGAAAGTGCCAATGATCCCCTTCCAGGTGTTACTACGAACCGGTCATGGAAGCAAAGGTATCAAAAGGTATCAGCTAGCCTCACTTTGTCGGCGCACTTCGACTTTAGGGACTATCTCGAGAGTACGAAGTACAATGAGCGGGCTTGGACGTAAGGATGATCGTTCTTCTTCACAATTTCATTTCTGGCTGACAGGTGATCTCGCAGTTTCCAGGAGTATCAGCTAGCAAACCGATTACTAGTATTCGCACCAAACGGACAAGTTTATTTCTTGTGCAGGGAGGCAGTATACTCCGAGGAAGTCATTGTCGGGCCGGACATGGAACCGGATGCTGCTTTGTTAGATGGAGCAGATCTCATTAAGTTGCGGCCAGATCCAACCAAGTTGTGGAGTGTCTACGAGAGAGGAGTCCACCATTTCACTGCTCGCAGGATGACATATGAGAAGGACATCCTGAATGCCTTCACAGGTATCCTGAGGATGATTTGCTCCGAGAGGTCCCTAGAGGGGCTCCCACTTCCGATCTTCGACCTTGCATTACTCTGGCAACCACAGCAGCAGCTAGAACGGCGACAGGGCTTTTCTAGTTGGTCATGGGCAGGCTGGATAGGCAAAGTCGAATGGTTTGATATCTACAGCTTAACATACGAAGGCGAAGGTAAGACAGAAACTGAACGAATTGCGTCCTGGATGAAGCTTAGATCCTGGATTGTATGGTACAGCTCTTGGGGAACTGACGTGAGATCACCGGCCTATATCATGGACGGGCCCCCTTGGTTACGTGGTACTGCTCCGAGTGCCGAACAGCATGAACATAGATTTCCTGGTCTACACCATAAGTTCGTGCCTAGGCCTAGGTCTCTCGCCCGCAGTCTGGAGAACCTCGAGCCTCAGCGACGCCATATACGATACCTTCAATTCTGGACTACATCAGCATATTTCGAAATCGAACATGACAGGAACATGAACTTTCCTATTCGCAGCTTGGATCCCGAGACAACCAGTAAAGGGCTACGTCTATTCACACTTCATGATAGAGATGGGAGAGCCTGCGGGTGGGTACTTTTGAACGACAACTGGGTGAATCGTGCTGCCAACAGCGACATCAGAAGGCAAGAGTTCATCATACTGTCGGAAGGTCGATATTCCAAAGTCTATCCCTCACCAATGAAGTATAGTCCAGACCAGACAGAGAGGCCTATAGTATTCGAAGAGTTCAATGTGATGATGATAACGACAACAGGTACGTGACCTCAGATATAGATCGATACAATTTCTAGAGCGATTTGAAGAGTGGGAAGAAATTGCGCAACTCGTATCCAAATCCAAATCCAAGTGCAATTGATGAGATATGCTGACTTAACTATCTCCAGGAGGCATCTCGGAACGAGCGGGTCTGGGAAGGATGAGGAAAGAAGCGTTGCCGTACTCGTGCTGGAGAGATGCTAAATGGAAGGAGATTATCTTGGGATAATTTCACCATGGACCAGTTTCTTGAAGTACGAGGAACGTTGGTAAGAGCCTCGTAAAGAAGATCAGGGCTCATTGCGATCGTAAATCGAAGCAGCGCGTATCTAATAAGAATATGCAAGCTTGAATGGACATGTGTAACGGAGGACGGCCAGTGCATACTCGACATGACAATATACCTACCAGTCAGCGATCAATCCCACGCTATGGACCTGACATACACGTCACCACGAGTTAGCGATTCTCCGCGACAGCATTCGGTAACCAGAAACGATGTAGCCTCGTGAGATCAGAGGGTACACTAGCAATGATACTAGCAACAACCGGCTGTCGACGTGCATGACCAACGGTCCGATGTGCCTCCGAACTTGTTGTTAAAAACTTGGAACGCCGTTTTTATCCCAAGCCGCTTGTATACACCGATCGGCGATTGTATGCACTGGAAGCGGTACCTGCGGAAGGAGGATGGAGTGCTCTTCAACCTGCTGGCGTATGTCATGTACGTAATGCGGGCGGTATGTAGCGGTGAAAGCCTCGTGGATCGTATAATGCGAGCCGAACGCGTACTCCATAGACCACGAGTGGTCGGGGTAAGCTGTCATTATGTGTCAGAGCTTGAAAAAGATTGACCGGGCAAACGATGGTGAGAGCTTGTATACCAGTCCTTCTTGAGGAGAGCAATGGACACAATCAAAGAGAGATAAGGACAACACTGAAGACTGCTTACAATCCGACCAATTGCCGTCATTGTAAGTAATATTTTAGCTTACTGCCTTATAATAACACGTATTATGGGTGGCAGTGAAGCCACTGATCCTCTAATATGTGATCGCTTACCGCCCTACAGCCCTATGCTTTGGCTACCGCTCAGGGAGCATCCAATTCCGAAACAACAGTTGGATTCAACAGGATCTGGCTTGACATGCTGATGCGCTATCTACGTTCGACCGCAAATGCTAACGTGATGCACAGAAGGCTGCTCCGTTCGGAATGTTGTAACGTTCATACTACGCAAAAGACTGCGAATGAAGCGAGCTGAAGATGTCCAAATGGTGTATTGCTTTTCATGTCATCTATCAGCATCCAGCATATGCCTACCGTATTTGGCACTCGCTCCTCGATCTCCAGGCAGCCGCTGCGAACGCCTCCGGTATCCCCGCGAACATCCCACCATGTGCTTCTTTTCTGAAATTTGGCACCACCGAAACATAGTTCGCAACGCATGACATGTGCTTTCTCGCCGCACAAAAGACGTTGCGTACGCCCGAGCTTGGGCCGTCGGAGCACACCGAGTACGATGCGGCATGGGAGCCTTGCAAGTGACACAGTGATAGAGTTCTTACTCAGATACAGTTGGAATCCGAATTCTTGGACGCGCGGTAGGCGACGAAATAGGTACCACACGTGGGAGTAAGGGTCATCGTCAAGAGTTCGTAAGCAGGACTTGATTGATGTGGTGGGCGGTGTAAGCCTGGCCTTGAACGTATACCGTTAAGGTGACTTGCACGGGCCCGTCAACCTCTCAACCCTCCAACGGGGCAGAGAGGCGACTTTCGCAGGATGATGCGGTCGCCGTGGTGGTCAGAAAGCCTGCCGTTATCATATCTTGAGAGGCTGGCTTGCCACACCGGTTCTGGCTAGCTGAATTTGAGCGAACAGATTTGGCGATATCATACGACAATTGGCCTCGGTCGACGCGTCCAGAAGGCTTCAGCTGATCGATCTCTGACGCTTAGAGTGCAAGAGTTAATTCTTGGGTGTATTGGCAGAGTGTGTCAAGTGAGACTGGGAAGCGAAGCCAATGAGGCCATGAAGTCGACTGATGCCGATTATATGGGTAGGTGATCTGCTGGTTGCCAGGGAACAGAACGAATGTTCACGCAATCAGCACGTAACGACTCTGGCAAACGATACCGGAACACTACTCACCATCAGTCAGCCTGTTCGGGACTGAGAAGCGAGGGTGGGTGAGAGTATTGGGTCGCCTTGACTAAACAGAGCCAAGAAGCTGGCCAGGAGTGAGGCTGGGTGTGCGGGTGTTGGTGGTGATAGCAGCCGGCGCGAACTCGGCATCGTGCCCCGCCGTCTTGTGGTGGGCACAGCCCTCATTGGCCTCAATATTCTGGCGGTCTGAGCGCCTCCACGTACGATACCGCTCGCGC